TGGGGTTATGTGGCATAACCATCAGAAATACACAGCCTACAAGAGCAGGACTCATTTAGAGCACAGAGAAAAGATTCTCCAGTGGTTCAGACATTAGTGTGGGACTCAGGACACCTGGATTCAATTCCATCCCTGTCCTGTGTGACACTGGACAAGTCAGTCGCTCTGTGTCTCAGTTTTCCAATCTGTAAAATGGGGATAATATCACTTCACCACCTCATAGGGGAGTTGTGAGGATAGATACATCAATGATTAGGAAGCTACAGTAATGGGCGGAGGGAAATAAGTACCTAAGCTTTGTTCTATGTTTGCACAGCACCTAGTCCAATGCGGTGCTGGTTCCTGACTGTGGTTCCTGGACACCACTGGAACACAAGTGATAAAATCCAAGGCTGAGGCATAGCTGCCGAGTTCTCATTAGTGGAAATTAGGCATACAAATCCCCTACCTGGGGACTACACCTTGACAGTGGGAAAGCTTGTGCATCCAGTGACCCTGAGAGCTTTGCTGGCAGCTCCTGCCAAGGCGACCCAAGATCTCTCAAGTTCCTAGTCCAGTGCTCTGCCCACTAGACCATGCTGCCTTCCCTCATAAAAAAAGATTACAGAAACACAACAAGGTAAACAGTCAAGCAAACAGCACGACAGACAGGATTGCAGAGCCTTGTTCATGCCCTAAGCAATGTCTGATGGACTGCAAAGATTTCTGACTGAGTCATCTTTGTGCATCTCAGACCAACTCCCCATTCATTTCTTTCCAGATTCCCAAAAGAGCCAGGGGGTTCTCAGTGCCAACTAATTAGAGAAATAAATTACAGAGCCCACAGTTCCCACACACAAAATTAAAGCCACTTACCCTTTCTGTATCTCAGTTTCTGCACCTGTAAACCGGGGATAAAAGTGTCGTCCAACCTCAGAGGGTGGAATAAATGCATTCGGTGCTCGGACACAATGGGAAGTGGTGGGGAGGGAGGGCACATAATTACATTAGATATAGCATCTCACTTACTTGGTCTCTTCAATGCTGAGAGAAGCATCCCCCGAGCTGGCCTTTGAGCTGGCAGCTGTTTAGAGATAAGTCAGGAAGATGTTTGTAAACAAGACAAAAGTAGCAGAGTCCTTGTTTTCATAGATTTTAAGGCCAGAAGGGTCCACTCTGATCAACTGGTTTGATTTCCTGCTTAGCACATGCCAGAGACCACCACCCAGCTAAGATATGCTTTTTATAATGAACAGTGCTGTGAACACACACACACACACACACACACCTTACAGGGACCTGAAAATTTAGCTTGGTTCCTTTGGCCTTGCCCATTAGCTGGAATGAAGATCCCGCAGATGGAGCCAAGCTAGTTATTCTGTTGACAAGACAGAACAGGTTCCAGCTCACACTATTGTGGAGTGTCAGTGAGGTCAATGGCTAGATACCATGTCATGACAGAATATGGTACCATAAAACAGGATGTGCTAGACAGATGCAGCCAGAAAGTGACTCATGCAAATCACAGGCCACAACAGTTATTGTATAGAGTTATATATTAAGACACCTTTTCAGGGTACTTTATACATAGATGTCTCATGATCAACAAAGGAAGCCCCTTCACAACAGGTCTGTCTTGACCTCATCTGCTCCAAAAAACCTTTCATGACTTCTTTATGAGCAATTACAAGCACATGCATGCTCACTCCCCAGGATGGGCCATGAGCTTACTTCCTTACTTTACTCTGATCTCTCACTCCCCTTCTCCATCAAACTCCCCCAATAAGTCAGCAAGTCAACCTTCCCTAAACCTCATGCCCCTGCCTCCTCCAGGACAGCACCTGCAGCTTCCTCTTCTTCCAACCCATGAGACATGTCACATCCCCCTCACCTATCAGAGATTATAACTCCTCATCTCTAGCCCCTAACAAATTCATGCCCTCTGACCTCCAAAGTTAATGACCCAATGCCAGAACACAGAAGGACCCACACGCTCTCTAATCCCTCACTGAGTCCCTTCCCAACACGGGGCTCCCATAACTTCTCCCCTAGCAGCCAGTCCCCCCCTAAACCCTCATAGCCAACTCAACCCCGCATAGCCAGTTCTAAACCTCCAAAGCACTGTAAAGCACTACTAACCAAGACTAATCAACTCTGTCCTTTCCCTTAGCTCATTAGCCACATCAATCGCTCCCCCTCCCCCACCCGATAGCTCCTCTCTCCAAATCTCATAGCCACACCCCACTCTGACCTATACCCCTCCTACACCCCCTATTTCTTTCCGTCTGACCTCTTCAGCCCTTCCACTCTTAGCCACCAGTGGCTCCCCAAACCCCTCACCCTCAAACCACCACCTCTACCTTTAGGCCCCTTCCCCGAAACTCCCCGGACTCTGACCTGCCTCGTATCCCTCGTCGCGCTTCTCCCGCTTGATCCGCCTGGTCCCCTCGGACTCCTGGGCGCCCCTGTCCCCGGCCCGGCCATGACTGCCCCGTGCCGCCGCGGCCGCCTCCTCTCCCCCACTCCTCCGGCTGCTCCGCTCCCCGCGGCTCCGGCTGCGCTTCCCTCGCCGCTCGCCGGACCCGCCGCTCCGGTGCTTGTGCTTCTTGTGCTCCCGGTGCCGGGAGGAGGAAGAGGGGGCGGTGGGGGGCGGCGGCTGCAGCTGTTGTTGTTGTTGTTGCTGCTGCTCCTCAGAGCCCCCGGGGCTCCCGGTCTCCCCCCGCTCCCGGTGCTTCTTCGAAGAGCCCATGGAGACGCAAAATGGCACCGACGCAACACGAAACTTCCGGGGTTGGCGCCGCTGAGCTTCCAGGTCATTACACGCTACTTTGAGTTCATTCCGCACTACTTCCGGCTAATGCATACGCCATTTCCTGTTTCTCTACACGCTACTTCTGGTTTGGTATATCACTTCCTGTTTCCCAATAATCGAATTCCTGGTTACCCACGCGTCACTTCCTGTTTACAAGGCTACCACCTCCGGGTTACCCCTACACACTTCCTGTTTGCCTGGGGCTGCCGCAGCTAGTTGCTCTTTGCCCCTATCCTGACGGATGTGCCGTTACGATTGGAGCGGGAGGCGGCGGCATAGTTCTTACCAGGGGAGCCGAGTGGCACGGGCTGTGGTGGCCGCCCCGCGGCGCAGAGCTGCCCTTTGCAGACATTGCGGATTGTGGCAGGCGTCAAAGTGTCGAAGAATTAAAACAATGAGCCATCAAAGAAAGGCTGGGATGGGGGGCAGCGCCCCGCCCCGCCCGCGGCTGTACACAGCCAGAGCGAGGACACCTTGGGCAGCCTGGCCCCATCCAGCCCAGGCTCAACCATCTCATCCACCTCATGGTTTCTAATGGCTCTGTGAGCTGCTTCAGACGTGCCTTTGGACCCTGTACAGCTGCCTACTTACTGTGTTGTTTAGTAAGCCCAGCAAGTCCAAACCAAACTATGGCAATGCCATTGCAAGGAGAGAATTTAGCCTGGCTTGGGAAGACCCGTTCTTGTCTATAGAAGGGAAAGAGTCTAGGCCTAGAGTGGTGGTATGCAACACTGCAGCCGTATGGAAAATGTTTGATTTTCAGTGGCATTTTACATAAACCTCTGCAGAAATTAGCAGAAAATATCCCACTGGATCGGCTTTGCAGTTACTGCTCCACTGGAATGTTCATTGGCTGTCAAAGGGAAAGGATCTCAAAAGGTTTGGGAAACAAAGAGGACCAGTGCTAACGTTTTTGGAAAAGAGGAATGAACTCGTTGACAATTGCAAGCTTATTAAAGGCAAGGACTAGATAAGTGATCTAGCTTTCCTTATCGATATTGTGTTTCATCTCAACACGTACAGGGAATCATTTGCCTTTTTGCTACACTGTTCAGTTGAGTTGCCTCTTTTATATAAAAACTGTGACTCTTTCAAAATAGTTTGTCCAAATAATTTGGACCGCTTCATTCATTTTGCATCAGTTAAAAATTGAGAATGACAGGGGTATAAATGATGAGAAACTCCACCATGCAGTGTCTTCACTGTTAGAGTCATTTGAGAAGATTTTTAAGGTTGATAAGCACACCATGGCCCTTCTTACTACTTCTTTCACTGTTTTGTACGCTGATGTTGATAATTACCCTCCAAATTTACAGAAATTCTTAAACTAATATACGCAAAAGAATTAATGGACACAAATCTGACATCGGGAATCATAATACTCAAAAACCAGTGGGAGAACACTTTAACCTGTCTGGTCATTCAATGACAGACCTGCGGGTGGCTATCTTACAACAGAAAAACTTCAAAAAAGAGACTCCAAGGAGAGACTGTTGAGCTGGAATTGATATGCAAACTAGATACAATCAACTCAGGATTGAACAAGGACTGGGAATGGCTGAGCCATTACAAACATTGAATCTATCTCCCCTTGTAAGTATTCTCACACTTCTTATCAAACTGTCTGTACTAGGCTATCTTGATTATCACTTCAAACGTTTTTTTTCTCTTACTTAATTGGCCTCTCAGAGTTGGTAAGACAACTCCCACCTCTTCATGCTCTCTGTATGTGTGTATATACATCTCCTCAATATATGTTCCACTCTATACGCATCCGAAGAAGTGGGCTGTAGCCCACGAAAGCTTATGCTCCAATAAATTTGTTAGTCTGTAAGGTGCCACAAGTACTCCTGTTCTTTTTGCGGATACAGACTAACACGGCTGCTACTCTTAAACTAATATATTAATTCTGGACCTGAGAATAAATTCAAAGAATTCTGTACATCTCCAGTGAACCAAGACATGACACCATGTTGGAAATTTTTCCCTAAAGGAGATTTTCCTCAGATAGATGACCTGGCCCTTCGATATGTGGGCAGTCTTGGATCAACGTATCAAAACTTCCATTTTCAGAGAGGAAGTTTATTAAAGGTAAATATCACGCCTAGGTCACCATTTCCTAACTCACTGACTTACATGTACTAGCATCAGCAAAGCTGAACCCAGGGATTGATGACATTGTGGATAAGAAGAGACATTCAGAAACCCCTTTAGACTGCTACCATGACACCCAGATCATGGTTAGTTTTATTCTGCATTAATTACATTATAGGAAATACTGTAATTAACTGTCATATTTTTTAGACCAGTGGTTTTCAATCTTTTTTTATTTGCGGACCTCTAAAAAATTTCAAACACAGGTGCAGACCCCTTTGGAAATCTTAGACATATTCTGCAGACCCCAAGGGATCCATAGATCACAAGTTGAAATTCACTGTTTTAGACATGTTAGTAATAAAGTGATATTTTGGTATGTTATAAATTCATATTGTGCCATGGCTGGCAAAAAAAGTTGGCCACCAATGATATAAACCATGAAGGTCCTGCTCTCCTAATAGGGGAACATACTATCGTGCTGGGGGTGGGGTTAGTTATACAATTTCTTCTCCACACCTCAGCAAGAGTTGGGAATGGTTTGTACTTAATACCCCTTCTCTGCTTTATAAATATATCTATACCCAGGGAGAAACCCCATTGGGAGTGGGGGAAAGAACCATCACCCTCCCCGTGGAAGGGAAAGTATAAGCCATATACCCTTTTGTATATACAAGGGGAAATACCATTGGGAGTGGTGGGGAGAAGACTCATTCCCTCCCCTCCTATGTGGAAGGGATGCTATGATCCATACACGCTTCTGTATTAGGGGACATATCATAAGGGGAAATCAGTTCATCCCCCATTGGGGCCAACAGACTGAGAGGAGAGTGTCCCTACTGAGTCATCAACACCCTAGCTTGTGAAAACACACAATCCTAGCCTGGTGCAACATCTCTGCAGACTCCCTCCTACTTACACTTGCGCCTTAGGATAGTAACTAATATAAATATTTTACTTTAGGGCCTGGTTTGTTTCTTTAAATACTGCCAGCCAAAGCAGCCCTATATAAATATTTGAAATAAGCCCCTGGCTACCTCTTAAATCATTCTGATCCCTAAAAAAAAAAAAATACATCTTTCTTGGGCGTGTTAGGGGCTTTCTATGCAAAAAGCTGGCATCCTGGTGGAGATGGAGCCAGCAATGCAGAGCTGTAGATCCTGGTTGCAGTTAATAGGAGTAAGGGCTGAGTCGTTGGAAAAACTGACAAGAGGAAGAATAGGAATACAACAGGCCCCAAGGACTGTGCAGATATTCGGTAACTGTATCACATTCTCCCTTCCTCTGCTGCCTGTGAGAAAAGGAAATATCTCCATGCCACAGGAAAATGGAGGCACAGGGAGGTGCAGATCCAATTATGATGGGGGCCAGATAACTAAGAGGGACTTGCCTCGAGATCACACAGAAAATCAGGGCCAAAGAACAGGGATACAGGTGTTCTGGCAGTCAGCCCCTACCCCCACCCTGCCCTTCTCTAGCCACTAGACCACACTCCTATCCCAGAGCTGAGAATAAAACCCCGGAGTGCTAACTCCCAGTCCTGAGCTGTTCTTGCCCCTAGACCTCACTCCTCCCTCAGCTGGAAATAGAAGTCCTGGTACCTAATATACCCTGCACTAACCCAGTGTCCCAATCAGTGGGTTGTGAGAAGGTTGTAGATGAGTCATGGGCCTGGTGTGGATGGGAGGTCCCAGCAGGCTAAGGGGGTTAGAAAGAGAGCCTGCATTGCACTCACCCCCCAACAGCAGCTCCTGTCCTGCAGGGCTGGGCCCAACTCCCATCTCTGGCCATTCTGGGCCAAAGCTGAGTGGCGCTGCAACCACACGCGCCAGGTTGGGGAACTGGGCCCAGCACCATGGGACAGGAGCTGCTGCTGCAGGGTGAGTGTAGAGCAGACTTGCTCTCCAGCCCCCTTTCCCTGCAACCTCCCCTCTGCACTGGGCTGGGATTAGGGTTGCAGTGCTGGTCAGAGGGTGCTGCTGCAAGTGGTTGGTCCCCTGTCTGTGGAGGAGGAGAAGAATGCTGACCTATGATTGGGGAGGGGGTGGCATGAATTTGGACCTACACTAAAAAAAGAAAATGCAGTCGGTGGGTCACTTGAGTAGAAGGTTTGGGAACCCCTGCTCTAACCTACTAAACCCTACTCCTCTCCCACAGTTGGGGAAGAACCCAAGAGTCCTGAGTCCCAGCTCCCCCACTGCTCTAGCCCACTAGACCCCACTCCCTTCCCAGAGCTGGGGATAGAATCCAGGAGTCCTGACCATCACCCCTCCCCTCCCCTTCTCTAACCATTAGACCCCACTTTCACAGCAATGCAAGGGGCAGGGAGTGGAGAAAGCATTTCCCCAAGGGCCCCCTACACCTCATCTTGTATTTCCAGTTCAGCTTCTTTTTTCCCCCGCTATACAGAGGGTTATTTCAGGGCATTACCCTGGCTCCTGGCCAGGTACGAAGGAGCTGCTCTCAACTCCTTTGCTGGTTCATAACCCGAGTGCAACGGGAGAGATGTAAACAGGAGCTTAGGGGGTGAAATTGCAGCTCTCAGCATGATCAGATAACATTCCTGTGACTGCCCAGGGCTCTGCTGCTTGTTCAGCTCCCCTTCTCCGGCCTCTTGCTGCCAAGGAAGCTCAAAGCTTGTTCATAAATTAACCCTTGGTACAGGCAAAATGAGGCAGAGAGAGGAAGCAAGCTGGCTATGGTCATAACGGCAGGAGTAGGTACAGAAACCGGGAGTCCTGACTCAGGGCCCCTGTCATGCCAGGCCTCGAGACAATCACAGAGACAGCCCTTGCCCTGAAGAGCTCACAGTCTAAGTAGACAAAGAAAGGGTTTGTAGATGGTTAAACTGAAACCCAGAGAGATGAAGTGACTTGCACGAGATCACACAGGGAGGCTGTAGCAGAGCTGGGAATGGAAGCCAGATCTCCTGGGTCCCAGCTCTGTGCCTTAAAGACAAGGCCAGCCTTCCTGTCTCTTACAATGATCAGGGACTGCGTCTTTGGTGTTGCCATAGAACAGCATAGCTCAGGCAATCGCAGGGTGAGAGAAAACACTCCCCAGCAGCCTGATTCTGTCCAGCAGGAGGCAACGACACACAGACACGCAATACATTGCAGCCAGCACAATTCATGGACAACGCTGTAGTTATTGTGTAGCATCATTTACCTGCTGCGAGAAGCACCATGTACAGTTTGTGTTGCTGCCCATTTTCGACCCAAGCAGCTAGTCAAATTTCAGGACTCCGGGAATGTTCCAGTGAAGAGGAGAAATTGCTGATACTCAGGTATTTCTTTGATGCACTCTTGGTTATTTATAAGAAATGTACACAAAGCCCTGATTCTCTGAATGCAGGAGGAACCAAGAACAAAATGAGAGGATTTCTGCATGTTACCAATTAACTGCATAAAAAATGACCCTTTCAGTTGCAACTCAATAGTCTAAATCCAAATTTTACAGCTGAGAGAGCTGTCTCCTTCTGATACACCCCTGGGATAAGTCTATGCACCACAGCCCCTAGTTCCATGCTGGGGTCAGCACTGACTGCGACAGGAGAGCACCCCCTACTGACCCCCCATCCTGCTCCCTGCAGCAAAGAACCCTCTAGTGTCACACTGGGGCATTGGGGGGAGCACTTAGTGTGAGGGGAGTGCTCCCTACTGAGCCGTTCATCCCTCAGGCATGGCGGCAGTAGCAGCTTCCCTAGCCTTCTCTGGATATGTATCTGGGCTGCATGAGAAACTCAATCTCTGCTTAGTCAGCAGGAGGCACTGTGGGGTGGTCACCCATGGGCTAAGCAGCAGCACTGTAGCCAGACGTCAAGGACTAAGATGGCAGCCTCGGATTCAGAGCCGAGCCTCCAGAGAAGAAGCAGTTCTTGGAGTCTGCATGAGGGAGATGTAGCCACACCTCAATGGGGAAATATCCTCCAGGAGGCAAAGATGGCCTCCAAAGAACACTGGCCAACCAGTCAGCCGAGATGTTCACTAAGGAAAGCTAGAAAATCAAGATGGCCACAAAGAAAAGTAGACCACCAACATGGCCACCACCATGGGGCCTAGCAGGCTAAAGCAGGGTCATGCAGGCCTCGCCACAGCCGGATGATATCCTGGGGTGTCCTGTGATCCACCATGATGAGTTCCTTGTAAGCACACAAGTCCTCCTGTCCCTCGGCCTCCATGTTGAAGGTCCAAAAACCAGGGTGGTTCTGTGGCATCAGCGCCAGTTCTCTCAGGCAGATCCCCAGGTAGATGTTGTCGATGGGAAAGAGGGGCAAGTGGCACGAGGCCTCGTGGAGCCGGGTGGCCACATCCCGTGAGCAAAGGATTCCTCCACCCCCCACATAGGGTGGGTAGGTGCCCTGATAGAAGGACTCAGGGACATAGTGCTTGTGTTTGCAGTCATGGACTGGGGCAGCATCCTGTATAACATGGCCAGCAAAGAGGCCCCGGCGAGTGACAGCATCAAAGCTCCCAGCGTAAGCCATCAGGGTGTCCACCCTAACAAAGACATCATCATCCCCCAGGAAGATCAACTCCACACTGGGGCAGTGGCCCCGCAGCCACCCTAGGAACAGGATGTTCTTTAGGCTGAGATTGTAGAAGGTATCCTGGAAGTCCCAAAGCAGGAGATCCCTGTTTTTCCATCTTTCCAGCTCTAGAAGCGCCTCCAGATCTGGATGCCCGTCCCCTGAGCCCTGCCTGCCCAACAGGAAGAGCGTCTGCACTGTCACATTCCTCACTAGCCCCGTTCGGCCCCATGTCTGCCGGATGGCTTGACGTCGGTCAAAGTTGGCCATCTGGGACCTAACAGCCACCAGCAGTTGGGTCCCATTTGGGCAGGCCTCATCATCTGCTGGCCCAACTAGCAGCGGGTAGTCCCTGCAGTGCATGGAGAGGACGAAAGCCTGGAGGTGGCTAGGGTAGGAGGAGAAATCTACTAGCCTCTGGGAGGCTTCATGGAAACTCTCTCCACACGTCCCTGGCAGTGTGAGGTTGAACTGGGCTGTGGTGTTCCTCAGTATGGGGTTTTCCAGCCGGTCCATGTAGAGCAGCAACAGGTCCCAGAGAGGAAGGCCATGGAGGTCCCTGTGCTGCCACAGCCTCAAATGGCCCCCAATGAAAGCTGATCTCCCTGAAGCCTGTAGACTGAGCGGCCTCCTTGAGAGCGTCACTACAGTGTAGACTATCACATTGGCGACAAAGACGCAGGACAGCCAGACATAAGCTTTGATGTAGCGGAGCTTCATAGTGTGTATGGGGGGGGTGCTGTGGAGCAAGGAAGGGAAGGGGTTAGAGGGTACATCCCAATTGCATTTGAGGCACCTCCCTGTACCACCACACACACCCCAACAGCCTCCCACAGCCGATCAACTACCCCCTCCCACAGACACCTCACTGCCCAGCAGGACTTTTCAGGTACCTGCCTCCCACACACACCAACAGCCCCCCGTGGCCATTCAACTACCATCTGTGTGCATATTCTCCACAGCCATTCAACTACCCCCTGCACACACACACCTTGACAGTCTCCCAGAATGTATCAGGTATCCCCACACAGACAATCCCATGTTTCAGGTACCCCCACATGCACCCTGACAGCCCCTCCAGGACTTTCCAGATAACTGCTCTCCCCCAAACCCTGACAGATATCCATGGCCATTCAGCTATCCCCCCCCCACCACACACACACACACACACACACCTCTGCCCTTTTTGGTACTTACATGGCACTTCTGCTTGACTTCGTTCTCAGAGCATTTCACCCAGGTGGGTTTGTCTCTTTATATCCATTGTAGAGTGGGAACCGGAAGCCTGGAGATGGGAGGGGCAGCAGTGACAGAGTCTGGAGTTCTAGCCTCCCTGCTCTAGCCACTAGCCTCCATTCCCCTTCCAGAGCCAGGATAGAACCCAGGAGTCCTGGTTCCTAGCCCCCTGCTCTAGCAACTAGACCTCACTTTGCCCCTAGAGCTGGGAGCTGATCGTCCCTTCTGCAGAGGAGCTGGTTTCAGCTTTCAGTGGGTGGGGCAATGATCGGCTCTTATCTTGAGTCAGGTGCAGAGTCCTTTAGGGGGAGGGAAGCAATTGGGACAGTGCAATGAGAATAAGAGGTGGGGGGGGGACATTAATCTCGAGAGTCAGGCAGCAGCAGTGGGGTCAGTACAAACCGGTTCCTAGCTGTTCATAGTGCTAGTGCTGCTTCCCACCCACCCTCCCCATTTGGCACAGGGAGGGCAGGGGTGGGTCCTGGCTCCCAGTCCCTCCTGTCTATCCCATGAGGCCCCCCTCTCATCCCAGAGCTGGGGATAGAACCAGGAGCCCTGACTTCCAGCCCCACCCCATTGTAGCCACTAGACCCCCCTTCCCAGACCTGGAAATAGAACCCAGGAGTCCTGACTCACAGTCTCTCTTGTTCTAACCCACTAGACCCCACTCCTCTCCCAGAGCTGGGGATAGAACCCAGGAGTCCTGTGTCCAACCTGGCTGGGCCGGGGGCCTGGGGCTCTTTAAACAATCAGCGGGGAGGCAGGTGTGCTCCAGACAAGATCCGGGCTCCGCGTGCTCTCCCACTCCCAGCCTTGTTTCCCACATTCAGTGCCTCTCACCTGGATTCTGGGGTGGGAGACGTCAGTGCCTGTGCAGCCCCGCGGGGGGAGCCAGGGAAAGACAGAGCTAAGTAGGGGTGAGGGGAGAGAAATGTTGGATGAGCTTGAACAGAGCTCTGGCTCTTGGGAGGCACTGGCAGGCGGCTGCTTAGGTCGGGTGGGGCAAGGAAGCCTGCAGGGAAGGCGGGATCCAGGGCTGTCCCAGGTGGAGCGGGGGAGGTGAGGGGATCTGGGCTGTGGGGGAGAGGCAGGGCTGGCTCCAGGCACCAGCCGAGCAAGCTCATGCTTGGGGCGGCAGATTCTAAGGGGCGGCTTCCCTCCAATCCTTTTTTTTTTTTTTTGCTTTGTCCACTCCAGCCGCCCTGCAGTAGTTTTTTTTTTTTTGGTTTGCCCATCTGGCCGCCCTGTAGGGGGCGGCGGCGCAGAGGAGGGGGAGCACCCTGCTGGGAGCGGGCTGCGCGCTCTGTCTGCCCCAGCCAGTGCCAGGACTGCAGCAAGCCCGGCAGTCCACGTCCTTCCCTGCCCGCCGACCGGAGTGGCGCGGAGCTCTCCCGGCAGGCGGCGCAGCGGGAGGGGCCACGTGGCGAGCGCCCCGCTGAAGGAAGCCCTGGCCACCCCCCTTCTCTACCCCTCCCCCCGCTCTCTCCTCTTCCCCCCGCTAGCCGGGGCACACATTCCGCTGCCCGGGGCACATCTGCAGCGCAGGGAGTCCCCCTGCACCCTGGCTCCGGCCGGCCCGCACCGCACGGTTTTGTTTTGGTTTTTTTTTGCTTGGAGCAGCAAAAAAGCCAGAGCCGGTCCTGGGGAGAGGGAGAGAGAATCCAGGGCTGTCTGGGGTTGTCGGGAGTGGAGGGGGGATCCAGGGCTATGGGGAGTAGGGGGACCAAGGGGATCCAGGTTGGAGGGAGCAGGGGTCCGATGGGGATCTGGGGCTGGGGGAAGTGGAGGGGCGAATCTAAGGTTGAGGGGGACTCAAGGCTGGAGGGTGAGGGGAACATGGGCTGTAGGAGGATACAGGGTTGAGGGGCTCTAGGGCTGGGGGCAACAGGGGAGATCCAGAGCTGACAGCTTCCCTCGCCCCATGCCACTGGTTGCAGCATTGCTGGACTCTTACCTCCCCCCGGCCATGTTTTCTCCCGCCGTGCTCCAGGACACTAGGGTTCTGTCTCTCCAGACTGGAGCGCTCCCAACCCCCTGGCAGCATATTTGATCTCTTTACTGTCCCTAAGCTGGATTTCCCACTACCCCCCTCCTGTTTCTAATTTCATCTGCCAGGGCACCATTCCTTCCATGATCCCATGGTTGCCACCAAACAGCACCCCACAATCCCAGTATTACCAATGCAGCAACACCTGCCTGAGTCTGCAGGGAGCCTGAGCTGATTGCTCCAGAAAGGGGGTGCTGCTCCAGGCTTCTCAGTGAGGCATTAACCCTGAAAACTAGAGACTGTGAGTTCATGGGGGTAAGGACTCTCTCTCTCATTGTGTCTGTGCAGTGCCAGGCAAAATGGGGCACCTGATCTCAGTTGTGGCCCATGCAGTGTCTGGCATGATGGGGGCCATGACCTTGGTCAGGGTCTGTGGGGGGCCCTGATCTCACTTAGGGGTCTATGCAGCGGACAGCACAATGGGGGCCCAAATCTCAGTCAGGGTCTGTGCAGCACCCAGCACTACAAGGGCCCCCATCTCAGCCAAGTCCTCTAGCTGATACTGTAATAAAAACAACAATAATAATAATAATGACTCCCAGCCTCCCCCTCCTCTAACTACAGGGCCACATCCTCCTTCCAAAGCCAGGCGTAGAACACAGGAGTCCTGGCTGGCTCTCAGTTTCCGGCTCAGCACGCCCCCTGCTCGATATGGTGCAGTAACCCCAGTAAGAAAAAAGCAAACTCTGCTCTCAAAGACTCATTTATTTGCCGGTACTTTGCGTCTCTAATGCAGGGAGTTGTATGTGACCCTCTCCGTTCCAGACGGGGTTATTTTCAGGCGGTGTCCAGAGAGTCAAGAGGAGACTCTAGCCTCTTGTTCAGCTGCAACCTGTCAGCAGGACATGAACCAAAGGAACCACTAGATTCCCCCTCCCCTCCCAGAGGTGGGAGTAGAACCTAGGAGTCCTGAGAGGGCTAGATGAGCCAGGAGGTTCAGCAGGCCCTGTGCTGGGAGATCTATAGCCCCTGGACAAAGGAAAATGGAAGATCCAGCTGGATCTATAGTGCCTGGAGTACCCAACATCTGGGTGATCCATAGTGCTCGGGGCTGGGACAGCCAGCTGATGAGCTATAGGATCCAAGGCAGTGAGATCTATAGGGCTCAGAGCTGTGTAATCCAGGGGGACTCTATCAGACCTGGGGCAGTGGGATCCAGCAGGGATCTACAGGGGCAGGGGGATGTATAGGACCCAGGAAAGCGGGATCCATGGGGGATATCCAGCACCTGGTCTAGGAGAGGCTCCGTGACCGCCCCTGTGTGGCTCTTCCGGCTGTCCTGGCAGTGTTGCCCTTGGCCAGGCGCCCTGCATGTCTCCACAGCAGCCTCTCATCGATGCCCAGCGCTGCCAGCACCTGGGAGAAGCGCCGCTCCACAGCCAGGCGAGCATTGGTCTGTGAGGTGAGAGGCAGGGACATCATTCACATCACCCACAGAACGGAGCTGGGCTCAGGCTGCCCACCCCACTGCCCACACTTGAACCTCTCCCAGCTGAGCTAGCAGGGATCTACTATAGCCAAGAGAGCAATAGGAGTTCACAACCAGGAATAAAATCCAGGCACCCTGGCTCCCGGCCTCCCTGCTCTAACCACTAGACTCCCCTCCCAGAGCTGAAGATAGAACTGAGGAGTCCTGGGTGCCAGTTCCCCCTGCTCTAACCATTAGACCCCACTTCCCTCCTAGAGCCAGAGATGGAACCCAGGAGTCCTGGACTCCCAGCCTCCTCCCCCTGCTCTAACCCACCAGCTCCCACTCCTTTCTCACCTGCATGACACGCTCAAAGAGGTAGGGGCGGCTCTCCACCCTCTCTTGGATCTCCCGCAGCTGGGCATCGTACTCTGTCATGCGCTGCTGCTCCAGCCTCCTAGAGCAACAGCACAGAGAGGTAACAGAGGGGTAGCCGTGTTAGTCTGAATCTGTAAAAAGCAACAGAGGGTCCTGTGGCACCTTTGAGACTAACAGAAGTACTGGGAGCATAAGCTTTCGTGGGTAAGAACCTCACTTCTTCAGATGCAAGATCTGAAGAAGTGAGGTTCTTACCCTCGAAAGCTT